CAGCACCCAGCAGCACAGCTCCTCTGCCTTCTGGCTCACAGTGCCTCCTGCTATCACACTCAGAATCTGCTCCCTGCGTGAAGTCTTCCTGTAAGAATCCCTGAGTACAACATGGAGATAACAGAAACACCTCAGCTGGAGGGCAGTGGTACAGCATAAGTTTATGGGCTATGCATAGAAGCCAGAAACGACTACAGAAACATTTCCCCTTTGGATACAGAGATCTCCGACCCCTCCACTGCAACTGAAAAGCCCCAAAGAAGCTGTGGACACAAGGGGGCCTTACCCATGGGGGCCTTACAGGAGCTCTGCCTTTCCCAGAGGGTCTGAAAGAGTCCACCCTGGGCTGACCCTGCATAAGGAAAAGGGAAAAATGGTGGCAGGAAGCAAGCAGTGCCACCCTCACAAGGGACCGAGACAGCAATGTAAAGCTGTCACATCAACCCTCATCATGCACTGCTCAAGTGGGAAACAGCCAGCCCTGACTGCCCCTCACCCTCCTGTTCTCCAGCTCATCCCAATCCAACCTCTAAGCCTCTGGGTCCGATATCAAGCACCCAGTACCTGCTGCTGGAAGCTGCCATCAAACCTACAGGATGCTAATAGCCAGCCTTGAAGAACACACTTCACAGAGGATTAAGCGGCCTCAAGTCTAAATGTACAACCTAGTTAAAAAAAAAGAAATGAAACGTGCCTGCAAGCAGCAGTGTGAATTTATCACCTGTGTTCAGCACCAGAGCGACCTGCGGCCGTGCTGCAATAAGCTGAAAGCCCTCCTGCAATCACTGCACTGAGGGCAGGCAGGAATGCCACCAGTCAGGTCCTCCCGAGGAGCAATGCAGAACCCAATGCTGCACAGAGGCTTTTAAAGCAATTTGTGGTAGAGCTCCGAGCCAGGATCTGAAATCTTTCTGAAGCCACCACATCGTCCTCTGTGAGCTGAGCTCTTCTCAGAAAGCACGTGAGAAAATACAGCCCATATCCTCAGTCAGGGTCACCGCGATGGCAAGTGCCACAGCTGAGCGTTGTGGTGAGACCACAGCATGTGAAAGGAGGAAAAAAAGAGAACTCATCAGCAGAATCCCTCACTCACACATCTGTACACAAAGCAGATGAGGCTGGGAGCCTGTTTTCCCAAAGAAAACCCCAATGTGAAACCGAGCACTCCGTCCTCCAGCACTGGGACAGGATCCACCGCTGTCCCCAAGCCTTGCCCCTCCAATACAAGGATCTGCCAGGGAGAACACGTGGGGATCCCATGAGGAATCAGCCCTTGGCCCTGCAGTCCTACAGCACACTTGCAGGCACAGCAAGCAGGGCAGTAACCCCACAGGAGGGACCTCAGAGGAGAGCTGTGCTGGCAGAGGGCTCCCTGCCTGCCAGCCCCATCCGAGCTCCCTCCTCTGAGACCAACAGAGAAATGCTCACACAGAAAAAAAAAAAAACCACCATGAAAAGAACAACTGAATGCCAAGTGAGCTGGGTCAGTCCATCAGTGCACGGGCTGGCACGTGGGAGGAGGCAGGAGGGCACAGCTGAGAGTGGGGAAGAGAAGGGCCCTTTTGAGAGTGCCCAGCACTAACTCACCGCTGCAGCGCCTGCTGCCTCCTCCTCCTCCTCCAGGCTGGACCCCCCCTCCTCTGGGGCTCTGTGCTTATCTGCTCCTTCGTGTGACCATTCGGGTTACTAATTTGCAGAAAGTTAATCCAGGGGAATAAAAAAAGGTAAAAAAAAAAAAGAAAAGGATCGGCTCAGCAAAAAGACTGGCTGCCACGTGCAGGAAAGAGCTTGCTCACGTTCACAGCGAGCGTGCCACCAGCAGAAACCCTTTGTGCTAAAGCTGGGGGCCCACCAGGACAACCAATGTTGGACATCTCCACACCACGGCCCAGGATGTGGAGGAAGCCTGGCACGGTGGGGATGCCAGGGCACTTCCCAGCAGGAGCCTCTGGGAACCCACAGTGCCACGCTGTGCGACCTTGAGCAGGACACAGCGCTGAGGAAAATGGCACGCGCTCCTGGGGTGTGGGATCTCACCTGAGCCCTACTGACATCTCAGGTACAGGCTGCCCTCCACCAAGGAGCTTCGGCTTCTATCCTGTCCCAGGACGTAGGCAGCCTCTCACAGCCAGCACACACTCAGGAAAAGCACAGCAACACCAAATGGTCCCGAGCACCTTTCCTACTGACATACTGACCTTCAATCCAGACCACAATCAAAAGTCAGTGAATAAATGCAGGAAAATACTGATAGGAAAATGTGCCGGAGTAGGAAATATGCACACCTGCATATAACACACCTTAGTTAATGAACAAACTTCCCCTCCTGCAGCACCTCCAGGCTTCGCCCAAACTTACTCAATCTCAGAGAACAAGCCCCAAAAGCACAGGTTCTTCAGACAGATTAAACACAGTCATAGCCCTCAGCAAATGGGGCTTACAGTACAGAGCCCTCCAGACTGCACAAACATCCTAAGAACAAACATTTTCAGCATTCCAAGACCTCAGACACACTGGATCAACCCAATGGTGTTTACTTGTATTTTGCCCAAATTGCTGGCAAAGTACTCAGAGCTGGGGGAGCAGCAACCTCCCCACCAGCTCAGCAAGAAACCATGAGGGATCGGGCAGTCGATGAGCACTACAAGGAATACCAGAGGCATTTATTTACACAACCACTGTTTGCCCAACGAGAACACAGAGTTTACATTTTCCTCATCCAACTCAATGGAATTAATTCCTCCATGCTATTCCTCAGCTGACAGGACGTGGAGAGGCAGTGAGGCCTCACTCCTGCTGCTGTGCCACACCTCTGCTGCACAAGCAGCACGCTGCAGCTCACACCTGTGCAAGAGGAGCCTGGCAGTACCACCAGTGTGACTCCACTGCCTTCTCAGTTCCTCCAGCAGGGCTGAGGGGACCCGGGGCTCAGAAGCAAAGCACTGAAGCGCCTCTCTCTGTGGCGTGAACCTCCAACGTCCCCCCACTGCTGGAGCAAAGTTCTGCCGCCAGAAGATGTGCAGGAATTCCTCCAGAGCAGCCGCCCGTGGCAGATAAGCTATAGTCAGGTTTGAGCCAGTTCTGGCCATGCATTTCACAGCTCAAGCCAGCGGGGTTCTTGGCGTACCCCAGTGCCCACCCTCACACCCTGCAACAGCCAGAGGAGCAGGGAGCAGCCCTGCAGCGCTCAGCCTGGCATCAGCCACATCTGAAAGCAGAGAAGCACTCGGGGTTAACAAATCCCTACAGACCCACGGGTGCGTGGCAAGGCGCAGAGCGCAATCACCCATACACCGGTGTGTAAAGAGGCGGGCACTGCTAAATTAGCACACACCACAGCCAAAGCCCACCTTGTTCAGGGACACACAAGAAGCACAAAGCCTGCAGTGAGCAGGCAGCACAGTGCGGGTGCAGCACGGCTCTGCCGACACGGCACTGTTCCCTGCACCCCAGCTCCCGAGCCTCACCCGTTGGCACACTACCCTATATTTAGGATAGCAGAGTGCAGTGACAAGCACTGGGAAGAATGAGTAAGTAGCTTAGGACGCCTGGAATGGTGGCAGAGGCTGCGGGAAGAAAATGAGCCTGAATTAGGAACTGCCGGAGCAAAGGATGTGGAGGCAGAAGAGCACCTGCGAAGCTGAAGTTTATACGGGCCAATAAACCTCTCACAAAGCGGGGTAAGGACTGGAGCAGCGCTCCCCGGCGAGGGGCGGCAGCAATCCGTGGTGCAACGGCGGGAGGCGGCCCTGCCCGGGAAATGGGAAAGAGGAAAGGTGAAGGTGGGCTCCGCTCGCACAGACAGACACACAGACAGACAGACACACACACACAGTCGGCTCCGCGCCCGCTTAGGCCCCACGGCCCCTGACGCTGCCACTTCCCCAGCGCGGAGCCGCAACCCCGCGTTCCCCGCACTCCCCGCACACACCTCACGCCGCGCACCGCGAGCCTCGGCCGGAACGCGCCGAACTCGGCCCGAGCGCGCCCGCGGAGCAGGGCCGGCCCGCCCGCCCGCCGCCTGTTGCTCCCGCGGCCCCGCCGCCCCCGCCGCGCTCCGCCCGGACACCGAGGCGGCCCCAAGGTCGGCCCGGCACTCTCGGAGCGCGGCCCAGAGCGCCGAAGGGACTCCGCGACTGTCCTGCGGGCGCCGCTCGGCCGCGGCAGTGGGGGGGGAGGCGGAGCCCGTCCCGGTGCGACGAGGCCGTTCCGCGACGAGCCCGTTCCCGGCGCGGCCCACGGGGACAGGGAGAAGGAGGAGGCGCCGTGGCCGCCCTGCCGCCCGCGCCCCGCCGGGCCTTGGGCCGGCCCGCCCGCCCGTCCCGCCCAGGCCGCGCCGCGCCACCGGGCCCGGCCCACCGTTAGGCCGAGGGCGGCGCGGCCGGCAGGTGCCGCCGCCGCCGGGCGGAGGCGAGGCGAGGCCCGGTCGCGCTTCCCCCCGCCGCGCCGGGCTCACCGTGCTCGGCCGGGCCCTGACGCCGCTCCCCGCTGGCTCTCGCCGCCAGCGGCCCCGACGCACCGAGCGGGCGGCGCGGCGCGAGCGCGACCCCGCGCGGGCACGTACCTGGGGGCGGGGCCCCGCGGCGCCTAGCAACCGGCGGCACGAGCGCGGCGCGGCCAATCGGAGCCCGCCGCCGGCGCATCGCTCCGCCCCCTCGGCCCCGCCCCACCTGGCCGCGCGCGGCTCCGCCCCCTCCCGCGCCCCGCTGCCGTCCCGCGCGGCCCCGCCCTTCCCGTAGCCCCGCCCCCCGCCGCATCCGCTTCCTCTGGGCGCCGCCCCAAGCCCCGCCCCGCACGCTGGCCGAACCCACCGCCCTCGGCCCGGCCCCGCCCGCGCCCTGCGGTCCCCGCCCGCCTCCTTCGGGTCCCGCCCACCGCATCGGGCGCCGCCCTCTCCCGGCAGACCACGCCCTCGTCCCTCGGGCCACGCCCTCTCCGGTTAGGCCACGCCCTCTCCGGTTAGGCCACGCCCTCTCCGGTTAGGCCACGCCCGCTTCCAGCAGGCACCGCCCCGCGTGCGGCTTCGTGGTCCGCGACCTCGGCAGCCTCCTGGCCCCCGGACCGCAGGCAAATATTTGCTGGGCCGGCCTTGGGCCGCAGCCTGACCACCAGCACCTTCACCATGCCGGCCCAGCTGGGCCTGCTGCTCTCCCTGGCTGTGGCCCTGGGTGCAGGTAGGGCCCTGGCAGGCAGTGTGGGGCCAGAGGGCAGAGGGCGTGGGGGGCTCAGGACGGGGGCTCAGGAAGCTCTGGCTCTCTTGGGCCGGGACGCACTGACCCTTGCTCCATCTTAGGCCACCGCTCAGCCCTCAACGACTTCCAGCGCCTGCGTGGCACCGAGCTGCGGGCGACGCCCGGCGAGCCCCCACTGCATGTACTGAACTGCACGGCCCAGAAGTGCGCCCAGAACTGTGCCAACAGGCCGGCCTGCCGGTGAGCGCGGCGCGGCAGGGAGCTGAGCCTCAGTGCTGTGCAGCACCCTGCCGCCTCTGCCTGCCCGCAGGGCCTTCCACCACGAGCGGCAGAGCCAGCTGTGCCAGCTGCTGTCCTGGACCCAGCGCTCACCCGGCACCCGGCTGCAGAAGAACATCCACTACGATCTGTACCAGAAGAAAGGTGGGGTGGGCACCGTGCCTGGGCGCGGGGCTCGTGGTGCGGGGCTCCCAGCGCCTGCACGGCTCTGATGCGGTGCCCGGTGCTCCCCAGACTTCCTGCGGGAGTGCATCGTGGCCAATGGCACCGGTTATCGTGGCACGCGGGACACGACGGAGCGTGGCCTGCGCTGCCAGCACTGGCAGGCCACCACACCCCATGATCACAGGTGCCCCGGGTGGTGTGGGATGATGGGGAAGGGATGGGGACGGTGCATTAATGGGGAATGGGATGGGGAAAGCATGGGGTGATGGAAAATGGGGTGAGGGTGGGTCGGGGGCAACAGGAACAGTGCAGCGATAGGAAATGGGATACAGACAGCATGGGGTGGTGGGGAGCCGAATGGAAACAATATGGGGTGATGGGGAAGGGGGTGAGGACAGACAGGGAACAATGAGGACAGCTTAGGGACACTGGGGACAGTGCAGGGACAGTGGTCACAACTGGGGTGGCACAGGTTCCTGCCATCCCCCCGCAATGGACTGGAGGAGAATTACTGCCGCAACCCTGACCGTGACAAGCGGGGCCCGTGGTGCTACACCATCGACCCCAATGTCCGACACCAGAGCTGCGGCATCAAAAAGTGTGAGGACGGTGAGTGCTGTGCTTCGGGGACACCCTGCGCTGCCCATCCCCATTACCAATGATAACCCCGGCTGTTGGCAGCCATCTGCATGACCTGCAACGGGGAGGATTACCGGGGCTTTGTGGACTACACCGAGTCGGGGATCGAGTGCCAGCGCTGGGACTTGCAGCACCCACACAAGCATCCCTACCACCCTGACAAGTGAGTACTTGTTGCAGGGTGTGTGAGCGTGGGGGTGGCAGCAGATATCTGTCACCTGCAGCCGCTGCTCCCTGCCTCTCACCCAGGTATCCTGAAAAGGGTCTGGATGACAACTACTGCCGCAACCCAGACAGCTCTGAGCGGCCCTGGTGCTACACCACTGACCCGGCGCTGGAGCGCGAGTTCTGCCGCATCCGCGTCTGCAGTAAGTGCCCTGGCATCATCTCTGGTTCCGGTGTCCTCGGTGCCACCCTCTCCCCGCCTCTCTCTTCCATACAAGCAGAGAAACGCCCGCGACCCATCAATGTCACCACCGGCTGCTACAGGGGCAAAGGCGAAGGCTACCGAGGCCGAGTGAACGTCACCGTGTCGGGCATCCCCTGCCAGCGCTGGGACGCGCAGACACCCCACCGGCACCACTTTGTGCCCAGCAAGTACCCCTGCAAGTAGGGCTGGTGGGACGGGGGGCTGCGGCAGCACCCAGGCGTGCAGGCACCCATGCTGCCACTCTACCAGGGACCTGCAGGAGAACTACTGCCGCAACCCTGATGGCTCAGAGGCCCCGTGGTGCTTCACCACCCGCCCCGGCATGCGCGTCGCCTTCTGCTTCCACATCCGCCGCTGTGACGATGAGCTGAAAGCACAAGGTGAGCCCCCGCCACATGAGTGCCCCACCGGGGTGCCCACCGGCAGTATCAGCTCCCCCTGCCTGTCCCCAGAGTGCTACCACGGCCACGGCGAGCAGTACCACGGCCACGTCAGTAAGACGCGCAAGGGCATCACGTGCCAGAAGTGGGATGCCACGACACCTCATGTGCCACAGTGAGTGTGCCACAAGCGTGACAGGGTGATGCACAGCAATGGGAATGGGGGCAGTAATGGTGGCTCCCTGCTGGCAGGATGTCGCCCGCCACCCACCCCGAGGCGCACCTGGAGGAGAACTACTGCCGCAACCCTGATGATGACAGCCACGGCCCCTGGTGCTACACCATGGATCCACGCACACCCTTTGACTACTGTGCCATCAAGCCCTGCTGTGAGCTTGGCCCCACCGAGCCCTGGCTGCCCCACAGGGTGCGTCGGGCCTCCTGCCACAGCCCCACTCTGCTGTCTCTCTGCAGCTGGCAGCGCTGTGCCATCTGTCCTGGAGAGTGCAGGTGAGGACACGGGGACATGGGGCGGTGGGTGTGCTCGGTGCGGTGCCCCCAGCCAACGATTGCTGTGCCCACAGATGCAGTGAAATTCGAGGAGTGTGGCCGGCGGGATGAGAGGCTGCAGCAGAAGCAGCGTGTGGTGGGTGGGATGCCTGGCAACTCGCCGTGGACCGTCAGCATCCGCAACCGGTGAGCAGGCACCCCATGTTCCAGCCGTGCTGTGCTGCCAGCTGGGTACCCACCCCTGCCCGTCCCCATGCCTGCAGGGCTGGCGTGCACTTCTGCGGTGGATCGCTCGTGAAGGAGCAATGGGTGATCAGCACACGGCAGTGCTTCTCCTCCTGGTGAGCTCAGGGGCAGGGTGCGGGATGCTGGCAACTGCCATACCCTGATGGCCTTGTCCCGCAGTGATGCAGACCTGTCAGGCTATGAGGTGCACCTGGGGACGCTGTTCAAGGACCCCAGCCCCACCGACCCCGACCTGCAGGCCATCCCCATTGTACGCATCATCTGCGGCCCCTCTGAGTCCCACCTGGTGCTGTTGAAGCTGGCGAGGTGAGTGTCTGCATGTGGTGCCCTGTGCCCCAGCGCCATGGGCTGGCACCACATCCCCATGCTGCTCCGTCCCTCTACAGACCAGCTGTGCTGAATACGCGCGTGGCCCTGATCTGCCTGCCACCCGAGCGCTACGTTGTGCCTGCTGGCACCACCTGTGAAATTGCTGGCTTTGGGGAAACCAGAGGTACTGCTATGGGCAGCCCCACCAGTGTCCCACTGCGATGGCATCTCCTATCTACAGCAATTCCTTCCAATAGCACCCTCAGGGTCATGACGTCCCCCTGCCCATGTCCACTGTCCACAGCAACCCTCCTTGATGTCATCTCCCTGCCCATGCCATCCCCTACCCACGTCATCACATTCTCCTACCCATGGCATCCCTTACCCATGCCACCCCTCACCCACCTCCCTCCCACACCCATACATGCCTTGCTGCTGTCCTGTCCCTGCAGGCACAACGGATGGCCACGTGCTGAATGTGGCAAAGCTGCCAGTGATGGCACATGCTGAGTGCCAGGCAGAGCTGCGTGGGCGCCTGAAGGAGAGCGAGCTGTGCACAGCCCCGCTGCGTGCTGGTGTGGGTGCCTGCGAGGTGAGCAGGGTCCAGGGGGCCAGGTAGGCTTGGGGACCCCACAGCATAGGGGTGACGGTACTCTCTCGGCCCTACAGGGAGATTATGGGGGGCCCCTGGCCTGTCTGACTGCCGACTGCTGGGTGCTGGAGGGGGTGATCACTCCATCCCGTGTCTGCGCCCGCACCGACCAGCCTGCCCTCTTCATCCGCGTCTCACTCTACGTCGACTGGATCCACAAGGTCATGAGGATGGTGTGAGCTGTGCTGCAGGTGGCACCTCCCCGCTCAGCCCCCAGTCCCAATAAAGGCAGTGGAGCCAGCCTGTGTGTGCATCTGTGTGGCCAAGATACGGGGGACAGCACTGCATAGGGCATCACACGTTTATTTAGAGCTGAACCCAAATCCCCATCCCTATCCTGCACCTTTGCTGTGCTCAATCAGTTCTGACCATTTCCAGGACCCGTGGTCACCCGGAGGCCAGCACAGCCATGGGGCTACCATGAGCTTTAGGGGCTGTGCTGTTCCACTGGGAGCTGCCCCAAGTGCTGGAGGAGCCAGCGGGCGCAGTTCCCAAAAACATCGGCTTCCGTCTCCACGCCAGTCAGTGCATGGCCACCCTCAGGGTACCACAACAGCCTGCAGGGCAGGAGATGCTTAGCCAGTGCTGCAGGGTTCCATGCCCACTTAACCCCAGCTCTACTCTGCACTCACCGGGTTGGCACCCCGCAGGCCCGCAGCACTCGGTACAGCTCCAGCGCCTGCGTGGGGCTGACACGCCGGTCCTGGGCACCCACACATAGCAGCACTGGTGCCCGCACCTGTGACACAGATGGTGGTGAGCACCTGGTTCCTGCCCCTGCACCCCTGCACCCATCCCACCGCACCATACCTGGGCTGCCTGGGTGATGGGCGAGCGCTGCAGCATGACAACCAGGTCCTCCACATGGGGCACCCGCTGGAAGGAGTAGGGCAGCCCCAGGGATGCGTAGCGCCTGCGGGAGGGAGGCAGTGGTGGGTGACACAGCACAGTGCGGTGCGGGATGGCACGGGGTGGGATGGGTGGCTCTCACCAATCAGGGATGTCGGATGTGCCCAGCAGTGCAGGAAGGTTGGAGACAGGGTTGCGCAGGGCGCATGCCTGGTAGCGCTCAGGCTGACGGGTGAGGAGGTGGAGGGCAATGAAGGCTCCGTGGGAGCCGGCTAGCAGTGCCACGCGGTGCGGGTCGAGGGGCTCATAGCGCAGCGCCTGCTCCACTGCCAGCTGTGGGCACCCCACTGTCAGCACCCCACCGTCAGCATCCCCACCGTCAGCATCCCCACCATCACCACCCCCACCGTCAGCACCCCCACCGTCAGCACCCCCACCGTCAGCATCCCCACCGTCAGCACCCCACCGTCAGCACCCCACCGTCAGCACCCCACCGTCAGCACCCCACCGTCAGTACCCCCACCATCACCACCCCCACCGTCAGCACCCCACCGTCAGCACCCCCACCATCACCACCCCCACCGTCAGCACCCCCACCGTCAGCACCCCACCGTCAGCACCCCACCATCAGCATCCCCACCGTCAGCACCCCACCGTCAGCACCCCACCGTCAGCACCCCCACCATCAGCACCCCACCGTCAGCACCCCACTGTCAGCACCCCCACCGTCAGCACCCCCACCATCACCACCCCCACCGTCAGCACCCCACTGTCAGCACCCCCACCATCAGCACCCCCACCGTCAGCACCCCCACCGTCAGCACCCCCACCATCACCACCCCCACCGTCAGCACCCCCACCGTCAGCACCCCACCGTCAGCACCCCACCGTCAGCACCCCACCGTCAGCACCCCCACCGTCAGCACCCCACCATCAGCACCCCACCGTCAGCACCCCCACCATCACCACCCCACCGTCAGCACCCCACCGTCAGCACCCCCACCGTCAGCACCCCCACCGTCAGCACCCCACCATCAGCACCCCCACCGTCAGCACCCCCACCATCACCACCCCCACCGTCAGCACCCCCACCGTCAGCACCCCCACCGTCAGCACCCCACCGTCAGCACCCCACCGTCAGCACCCCACCGTCAGCACCCCCACCGTCAGCACCCCACCGTCAGCACCCCCACCGTCAGCATCCCCACCGTCAGCATCCCCACCGTCAGCACCCCCACCGTCAGCACCCCCACCGTCAGCACCTGTTTGCTGCTCCTCACCTGTGTGTCAGCCACATCCTGCTCACCCACACGGGACTGCAGGCACTCAATGCTTGCCTGCCCAAAGCCCAGCGAGCCACGGTAATTCACTGCAGAGATGGGGATGGTGGAGGCCACATCCCGTTGTGGCACAGGGGATACGCAGCACTGAAATCCCCATCACTCACCCAGCAGCACGGCGAAGCCCAGCTGACACAGCGCAGCCATGCTTGGGCGCCAGCGGGCATCGAAGACGGCGTGAGGGCCGCCTGGGCATAGCAGGGATGTTACCTGAGTGCCACCAGCACCATCAGGATGTCCCCCTGGCCCTCACTCACCGTGGGGACACACAACGAGGGGGTGCGGAGTGGTGCCGCCTGTTGGGCTCAGCAGCAGGGCCTCGAAGGTCTGGGGACCTGCACCTTGGAGGGGCCTCACTCAGCACCCAGTGCCACAGACAACCCTGTGCACCCAGGCACTGCTGGGCCCCCACATACTCACTGTGTGGAGCAGAGTTTTGCTGGACTATCAGCGTTTTCCAGGTGATGCCAGGAACTGGTGGGGTGTCCTCCACCGGCACCCAATGCAGGGGCAGCTCCTGGCCCAACGGTGGCAGCTCTGCCATCACCTGGGGACAGGCAGTGGGTGGCACCAGGTACTCCTATTCCATAGCAGGGTGTCACCAGCACCTCGCACGGTGCCAGTACTGCATGGTGCTCAGCTCACCAGGCTGGGTGGGCGGTGTGGGGCTGAGCAGGTGGCCACCAGCAGGTCCCACTGGATGGTCAGCAGCTCCCAGCACCCCTCTGGTGACCCTGGGGACAGCGGCACGCTCACAGTTCCCAGTGCTCATCCTGCTCACCAAAGCGACGCGAGCAGCCGGGTGCCACGTACCGGCAGTGAGGTTGGTGATGGTGGAAGTTTCTGTGTCCACCAGCAGCAGGTCCTGTGTGGGGACAGCGTCAGATGGGGGCTGTGCCATGGCTGTGCCCTGTCCCCGTGCCCCAGCTCACCGTGCGGCTCCGCTGTGGGGTGCACAGCAGCGCCCGCCGGCTGTCAGCTGCCCAGCACTGCAGCGGCAGCGCATCGGTGTAGATTCCAGTGAAGGCTGTGAGTGGGACAGAGCGTTGAGGAGCTGGGGTGGTGGCACTCAGTGTGATGGTCCGATCCCCCAGCAGCACCCAGCCTTACAGCTCTCACTGCCCGTGGGCTCTTGCACCACGTCGAGCACCGTCACCGTCTGCCGCGTCTGCCAGGTGAGCTGGAGGGAGCCGAGCCCAAAGGGGAAACTGAGGCACGGGGATTCGGAGACCAAAACAGACTTTGGGGACCTGCCCAGTGTGGGACGGGTGGCCCAGCGTGCAGGATCCTGCTCACCAGGCGCAGCTGCAGGCACTGCCGGTGGGGCCCTCCCACGGCCCCTTCCAAGTACAGCAGGCGCTGACCGTCCGGGCTCAGCCGGGGTGAGAAGGAGGCACGGTTAGGGGCAGACAGCAGCTCTGCGGGCAGTGGGTCAATGCCTGGGGACAGCAAGGAGCCCACGGTCCTCTGTGTCCCAGTGCTCACCGCAATGCCCGCCGGCCAGCTCCAGGTGGAAAACACCCGACCTGGGGAGGAGGAACGCTCGGGTCAGAGCTCCATGCCTGTGCCATGCAGGCAGTGAGTGAACATTGAAGGCACTGGGGCTCACCTCCTGTTGGAGCAAGCGCTCAGCCCCAGGCGGAAGGGCTCGTGCCACCAGCCCACGAATACCACACCAGTGTCACCTGGGGACCACAATGCCTGTAGGACAGCCAGGCTCAGGTGTGGGCCTCAGCCTGATCCCACAGCTGCCCAACCTACCTCCCAGTACTGACCTGGCCAGGGGACACGTGCTCAGGGACACTTTCCAGCACTGAGACACTGCTGCTCTTGATATCCAGTATGCAGAGCACAGGGGCACTGCAAGTGCTCAGCTTCTCTCCCCAGCCCTCGTGGTACACGAACTGCTCGCCCTGCAGCATGCTCACAGGGAGCATGGCACGCTCAGTGTGCACATGGCACACTCACTGCCCATCTGGCACACTCACAGGAATCAAGGCACACTCACCATTTGTGGGGCATGCTCACAGGACACACGGCATGCTCACGGTGCTCACCATGTGCAGGGTATACTCACATACTCACCACCCACCTCCTCATCCTCATCCTCTGCTGGCCCGGCTGCTCCTGGCACATGCCCTGGGCAGGCTGCAGGTAGCGTGGGCCGGCTCCTCTCAGCCACATAGAGCAGCTGCGTCTCCAAATGGGACCAGGCCAGGCAGGCAAATGGCCCTGCCGCAGGCACAGGCTGCCAAAGAGCTCCACGGTGTGGGGGCAGCCGGGCACCGCGGCTGTGCCACCCTCAGCTGTTCAGAGGAGGATTTGGGGAGGGGTCCTTACCCTCTGTGTAGACCGCCCCGTGCTTCCCCAGCGCTGTCAGATCCACGCAGTGGCTGCGCCCGCTGCCATCCCACACCTGGGTGAAGCAGGTTCACCGGTTGCACCGTGCCCATTGCACCCGGCTCCCCCGTGCGCCCCCGGCACCGCATTACCTCCAGCAGCTCGTGGCCCTGCGGTGGGCGGCGGACAAGCACGGCGCGGCGCTGCCCCGAGGGTGAATCCTGGCCGAGCAGCCTGCAAGCGGTAGGGAGCCGTGGAGGGTACAGAACAGAACGCCCCGCGCCGCCCCGTCCCACAGGCTGGCCACGAGCCGTACCGGTTGTGGATGTCCGTGCTGAGCGCAGCCCGGCTGATGGCGAGGCCGCGCTCCGTGCGCTGAACGCTGTAGTGGCGGCTGAAGAGCAGGAGCCGCCGGCGGGGCAGGTCGGGCTGCCGGCACTCTGCAGGACGGGGATGTCAGCACCAGCCCGGGCACAGCGCAGCGGGGCCGCGGGGCCTGACTCACCGGTGTGCAGCAGGAAGGCCTGTCCCTGTCCCTGTCCCTGTCCCTGTCCCCCCGCGGTGGCCCCCAGCGCAGCACAGCTGACGGCAGGGAAGCGGCTCAGCTCCCTGTAGCAGGCACCAGGGCTGCTCCGCTGCCCCTCCGCCGGTTGCCCCCAGCTCCCCGCTCCCTGCTGCGTCCCCGAGGCCATGGGGCTGCTCCGTGCTCAGC